ACGCACACAGACAGGATGGATAGACGATAGATACATACATATATACACAAATAGATACATAGATACGATGGATAAATAGAAAGATAGGTAGAGGCTGGATGAGGGCTCATACCTGTAATCCCAACCCTTTGGGAGAGTAAGGCAGGAGGATCACTTTGGTCCAGGAATTCAACACCATCCTAGGCAACATGGTGAAACCTCATCTCTACAAAAAAATACAAAAATCAGCCGGGTGTGGTGGTGTACCCTTTTAGTTCCTGCTACTCAGGAGGCTGAAGTGGGAGGATCACTTGAGCCTGGGAGGTGAAGGTTGCAGTGGCCTGTGATTGTTGTTCCACTGCACTCCAGCCTGAGTCACAGAGCAAGACCGTGTCTCAGAAAACAAACAAACAACAACAAAAAAAAAAACGAAAGAAATAAACGAAGATAGGCGCAGCTCTCCAGCCCGCTCGAACGCTCCCCACAGCCACTGCCACCCATTGGAATGGCCAACAGGGGACCTGCATATGGCCTGAGCCGGGAGGTGCAGCAGAAGATTGAAAAGCAACATGACACAGACCTGGAGCAGATCCTGATCCAGTGGATCACCACCCAGTGCCCAAAGGATGTGGGCCGGCCCCAGCCTGGGCGGGAGAACTTCCAGAACTGGCTCAAGGATGGCACGGTGCTATGTGAGCTCATTAATGCACTGTACCCCGAGGGGCAGGCCCCTGTAAAGAAGGCCCAGGCTTCCACCATGGCCTTCAAGCAGGTGGAGCAGGTCTCCCAGTTCCTGCAGGCAGCTGAGCGCTATGGCATTCACTCCACTGACATCTTCCAAACTGTGGACCTCTGGGAAGGAGAGAACATGGCCTGTGTGCAGCGGATGCTGATGAATCTGGGTGGGCTGGCAGTAGCCCGGGGTGATGGGCTCTTCTCTGGGGAGCCCAACTGGTTCCCTAAGAAATCCAAGGAGAATCCTCAGAACTTCTCAGACAACCAGCTGCAAGAGGGCAGGAAGTGATCAGGTCGCAGATGGGCACCAACCGCGTGACTGGCTACGGGATGCCACGCCGGATCCTCTGATCCCGCCCCAGACCCTGCTCCTGCCGTCCCACAAATGGTTAATATGTATGTAGATATATATTTTAGCAGTGACAGTCCCAGAGAGCCCCAGAGCTCTCAAGCTCCCTTCCGTTAGGGTGGGGATTCAGCCTGTCCTGTCACCTCTGGGGTGCCTGTTGGCAGCCCCTCCCCCCAGCTTACTAATACATTCCCTACTCCATACCCATCAAAACTGGACCAACTGGGCTCTTCTTTTCCCCTGGGATCAAAATGTAGGGGCCTCAGCTCCCCACCCCCATGCCTCTCCTCTCTCCTGGCCTGCTCTGTCCCTGAGCTCTGTGCCCTCCATCCATCCATGGCTGGGCGTCAGTGATGCTGCCTCTGCTTTCTGAGGTTGGACCCGCCTTGCTTCTACAAGCATGCTTCTCCCACAGCTGTGGCTGGCTTCAGGAACTTAATTTATAGGGAGGAGCCCCAGCCACAGCTGCACTGACTGTGCTCACCGCACATCTGGGGCAGCCTTCCCTGGCACAGGCCCTCACGGCTTCTCACTTTCCATTCCCCTCACTATGGCTAAGGGGTGGGGTGAGGGGATGGAGAGGGAGGGCTGTCTACCATGGTCTGGGGATTGAGGAAGATGAGTTTGTTGATTTAAATAAACAATTTTGTCTTTTTTGAATGGAAAAAGAAATGAAGATAGGAAGATATATAAAATGGATGAATAGAGAAAATGGATAGAAAAATAAATAGGATGGATAAATAGAACATAGGTAGATAGATACATAAATAGGATGAATGGGTAGACAGGTGGGTGGATGGATAGAAAGATAGATACATACATGGATGGATAGATAGATGCACAGATGGATGAATGGATAGGTAGAAGATAGTAGATAGATAAATAGTAGATACATGAATGGATAGATAGTAGATGATAAATGACTGGCTAGATAGTAGATAGATGAATGGATGGATAGTGGATGAATGCATAGATAGTAGATGAATTCGTAGATAGAAGGTAAATGACTGGCTAGATAGTGGATAGATGAATGGATGGATAGAGAGTGAGTGAGTGAGTGGTAAGTAGGTAGTAGAGAGGTAAATAGATAGATAGGCAGGTAGCAGGATGAATATTTAGAAAGCACGGGAGAGGGCAGAAGGCCTAGAAGGACACACATTAACCTTTCCTACAAGGATCATAGGATATTTAATATTCAGGAAAATGACATTTAAGACATCGTAAGTGGACCAGGACCTTGGACAGAGGGCGCAGCTGCCCCGTTAGCAGTCCACACCACCCGCCCACAGATCTACTCACCTCAGCATGTGCCGCCTTCCATGTGTGAACCACACGGAGTTCCTTTCCTGCCACTGATGTTGACCTGGGTATTTGCTCACGTCAGTGTCCAAATGGCAAACCCACAGGACATGGATGGGGTCCTGCAGTCTGGACAAGGCCCAGGAGTACCCTTGGAGGCCACGTTGGGCTTCCCCATCCACGTGCAAACCGAAATTCCTCTTGGGTGCCTTTTCTCAGAAGATGGCCCGTGGCATCCATCAACTTCCTTGAGGTGATGCTTGCGAAAACGGAGACCCCACTCCAAAGGAGGATGTGGACTCCGAGTGGTTGGGCAAAAACGTCCCGACCTCAGGTACCCTGTGCTTCCCCAGCGGCAGCTCATCTGGACACCGCCATCAGGACAGCAACCACACTGGCTCCAGCCACATGCACTTCATGACCCACGTCGTCTTGCTATTGGGTAGAAGAGGGTCAGAGAAAGCTTCCTTGGCACAGAAGCACATCAGCATAACCAGATCCAAACATCTCACCCTCCAGATTCCTCATCCCTCTGGGCAGAAAGAAGCAGTGTCCCAAGAAGCCATGCCCCTGCTTGACCCCTGACCCTGGAAATGCCCCAAAACTCGCCCAGGAGGCTGATTCCAGCCAGGCTGCCCTGGGGTACTGCCCTAGGACAATTTCTTTCTGGAGCCACAGTACTTGCTTGGGGTGGGAAGAAATTGTTACAAACTCGCCAAAGGCTCTGAGTTGATTGGCTTTTCCTTTAGAAAGCATTGGCTTTTTATCTTCAGCAGTTATTCAGAGCCAAACTTCATGAAAAGGGGAACAGAGTGACATCCTGGGAGTATCCTACTGCATAAAAACTGAGGTGTGATTACAAAGTAACAAAGCTAATCTTTTTTATTTCCTAGTACTCGAATTGAAAAGCCTCACAAAGCTGCTTGCTTCACAGCAGCAGTTTCTGGGCGAAGCATGCAGTCAGCCAAGGGTGAATATCTTGAAGTTTAACACTCTCTTGGAGGCAGAAGCTCCAGTTTGGTTGAAAAATAGTATCCTAACTGTTGAGGCACACCTTTGCAGTGGGACTCTGTAACCCCACAAGGGGTTCGTCTTGCTTGCTGCCCAGACAGAGCAGATTCATCAGACAGGGAAGTTGCAATAAAGAAAGAGTCATGGCCGGGCGCGGTGGCTCAAGCCTGTAATCCCAGCACTTTGGGAGGCCGAGGCGGGTGGATCACGCGGTCAAGAGATCGAGACCATCCTGGTCAACATGGTGAAACCCCGTCTCTACTAAAAATACAAAAAATTAGCTGCGCATGGTGGTGCATGCCTGTAATCCCAGCTACTCAGGAGCCTGAGGCAGGAGAATTGCCTGAACCCAGGAGGCGGAGGTTGTGGTGAGCCGAGATCGCGCCATTGCACTCCAACCTGGGTAACATGAGTGAAACGCCGTCTCAAAAAAAAAAAAGAAAAGAAAAGAAAGAGTCAGTCACCCAGAGCGGGCTGCGTGGGAGACCAGAGTTTTATTATTCCTCAAATCAGTCTCCACAAGCATACAGGGAGCAGAGTTTTTAAGGATAACTTGGCACGAGGGGGGAAGCCAGTGAGCCAGGAGTGCTGATTGGTCAGAGATTAAATCGGAGAGAGCTGAAGCTGTCTTCTTGCACTGAGTCAGTTCCTGAGTGGGGGCCACAAGATCAGAAGAGTCAGTTTATGGAAGTGGGTGGGGCCCACTGATAAGCGAAGGGTCTGCAAAATGTCTCAAGCACTGATCTTAGGAGCAGTTTAGGGAGGGGCAGCATCTTGTAGCCTCCAGCTGCATGACTCTGAAACCATCATTTCTAATCCTGTGGCTAATGTTAGTCTCGTCCCCAGGCAAGAAGGAGGTCTGCTTTGGGAAGGGGCTGTTACCATCTTCGTTTAAACTGTAAACTACAAACTAAGTTTCTCCCAAAGTTAGTTCAGCTGAGGAATGAACAAAGACAGTTGGAGGTTAGAAGCAAGATGGAGTCGGTTAAGTTAGATCTGTTTCACTGTCTCAGTCATAGTTTTGCAAAGGCGGTTTCAACGCCAGGAATGTGATCATGCCCAAGTTCTGCTGATCCTCGGCCTTGCTTGCCCATTTCTCTTCTGTTTCAAGTCAGCAGCTTCTCCTGGTGAACTGCTCTGGAATAACTTCACAATGAAAAGCTTTTCCCCTAATGAGGCCGTAATCCTCGCTGAGAACGCTTTGCCGTTTGCTGCATTTTAATGCTCTGGCGCCACATTTTCCCCCTTTTCCTTTTGGGATAAAAGACTTCTTTGTCCCATGTCTTCAGCTGGTGCTTAGGGGTATGGAGCAAAAAGTGGGTGCCAGAGTTGAGATTCAGGGAGTGGAGAGTGGGGAGGGGCTTCGGCCCTCTGGGAACGGCACAGAGGGATGCGGTGGTGCAGCCCTGGCCACGGCACGTGTCTGCGTGGTTAGAGTCAGATGTGGCTGAGCTAAGTGGGGAGGTCCGGGCAAAACCTGAGTCTCAGCAACCAGGGCAGGAGTGGGGAACCTCTGCACCAAGCCATTTTCCTCCCCAGGAGCCTCAGGGAGCCCTTAGATACCAGCCTTGAGAGATCGTCCACATTCGTCCATGGTAACGCCCTTGCTGTCTCTCTCTGTCACCAGTGGAAGGACTAAAAGTGGTGGAGATTGAGAAATGCAAGAGTGACATTAAGAAGATGAAGGAGGAGCTGGCGGCCAGAAGCAGCAGGTAGGGTCTGCGCTGGGGCCACGGACGGCCAGGCCTGGGGAGGGCTTTTCTTTCCAGATGGGCTGGGGCTGTGGGCTTTGTTTCTCCAAAAGAAAGTCTGGTGGTTCAGGCTCGGGAGAACGCAGCCTGGAGACAGCCACCCTGCTTGCCACCCGCCTGTCAGTGGTGTGGCTTTCTTCTAACGAAAGAGCACATAGGGGCCGGGCGGTGGCTCACGCCTGTAATCCCAACACTTTCAGAGGCCAAGGCGGGAGGATCACTTGAGGTCAGGAGTTCAAGACCAGTTTGGCCATCATGGTGAAACCCGATCTTTACTAAAAATACCAAAATTAGCCAGGGTGGTAGCACACGCCTATAACCTCTGCTATTCTGGAGGCTAAGGCAGGAGAATCACTTTAACTGGGGAGGCAGAGGTTGCAGTGAGCTAAGATCGTACCACTGTACTCCAGCCTGTGCTCCACAGAGCAAGACTCTGTCTCAAAAAAAGAAAAAAAAAGAGCAGCCGGCACTATGGCTCATGCTTGTAATCCCAGCACTTTTGAGAAGCCAAGGCAGGCAGATGGTGAGGTCAGGAGTTTGAGGCCAGCCTGACCAACATGGTGAAATCCCATCTCTACTAAAAATACAAAAGTTAGCCCGGTGTGGTGGCGCATGCCTATAACCCCAGCTACTGGGGAGGCTGAGGGCAGGAGAATCACCTGAACCTGGAGGCAGAGGTTGCAGTGAGCCAAGATTGCGCCACTGCACTCCAGCCTGGGCTCGACAGAGCAAGACTCTGTATCAAAAAAAAAAAAAAAAAAAAAAAAAAAAAAAAAAAAAAAAAAAAGGGGGAGGGGGAAAAAGACTCACAAAAAAGGGGGACCCACGGGAAAAAAAAAAAAAAAAAAAAAAAAAAAAGCACATACGGCAAATGGGGGCTAGGAAGACGACTTCGCAGAAAGGGGAGTCCTCCTGCAGATCCAAGCCTTAGGAGCAGTGTATCCAGCTTGACATAAGTTGATATTCACTTTTAAAGACAGAACAAAAAGAGAAAAGCCACTTGGGGGATGAGCCTCCTGGTGCCCCCGGGGACCCCATTACCTGTGTGATATTCCCATGAGGTTGCAGTCCAGCAAGGGCTCCAGCCATTAGGAACACCAAAGTCATTCTCCCAGGAGCAGCCATCCTTCACAGGTGCTGCGGGGGCCCAAGGAGCTGTGACTTGAGGGGAGAATGCTGCAGCCTCCAAAGTCAGTTTTTTGTACAGCAGGACTCTTTATTAGAGCCAGGGTCAGGACATGTGTGGATGAACCTCGCCCAAACCGGGGATGGAAATGCACATAGTAGCAAAGAGACACCAGTGATGATGAGCAGAGTGCAGCACTTGTGTGCAGGCGCTGAGCTGAGTGAGGGGCACACAGGACCCGCTAACACCTCCCGGCTTTGCCTCCATGCCCGCTGGTGCCAGCCCATAGCCCACTGGCATATGATGCAGCTCCTGGTTCCCCAGGGTGCCACGGGCCAGCCTTGGCGGAATCTAATGGGGATTCCTGAGCTGAGAAACGGCCCCGGGCAATTGCACTCAATGGCTCAGGGCTGCCTGGCATGCCGACGATCACTCCCTGATTTGAAACTCCAGGGTAATCTGCTTAGTGAGGGAGTGTAGCAGGTAGAAGGGTCTCGGAGGCAGAAGGTCAGGGGAAAGCCGGGGGTCCTCACCTGGTCCCCTCAAAGCCCTGGGAGCCAGACCTCAGGGAGGAAAGCCGAGTGGAAGGAAGCAGGCCTTGTCTGAGCCACATGAGAACGAGTCCTACAGGGACCATGCCACGTGTCTGTCTTGCGAACTCATGGACTCACTTGGAGTCAGGGACGTCTCAGTCCAGCTGACTTAGGGAAAGGCAGGGCCATACATTGTGACCATGGAAAACAGTGAACAGTCCATCTTCGTCGTTCCTGTGGTGGGAGGCTCTTGAAGGGACGAGAGACAGAGTCCCTCCTTTGTGAGCCTAGGAGGAGCTCCCACGGTGCACAGGAGTGGCCACAGAGTTGGGCCCCCAAGGCTGAGATCCAGCTTGGCAGCCTCAGACACACATCACTTTTACCTGTGGCACCGCCCTTGGCCGTGAGCTCTATGCAGCTTGGGTCAGCCCTCTGGCCGTCCCCTGTGCCCAGGTGCCACACTGCTGTGGCAGTAAGGTAGTGTCCCAGTACCGTGCTGCCTCACGTGGGGGCTGTGGGTGAAACAGGGAAGGCTTTCCGGTCCCACCACCAGCACGAGGGGAACAGGGTGAAACCTGACTACTAGTCTTCAGCCTGAAACCAGATTCCCTGCACAGCAGCCTGGGGGCTCCCTGTGGGTTGGGGAACTCCACCGCCCTGAGGAGCGTGTCTGGAGCTAGGCCATACCTCCCAGGGCTCCCCTCACCCACAAATGTGTGTCCCTGAGCACTTTCTGGAGGTGTTTGTAGAATGCAGCCTCTCTTCCCTTAAACGACTGCATTTGCTGCCCACCCACAGCAGCAGCAGCAAGTGGTAAGACAGCTCCCCGCCTCGCCAGTCCTGCCCCTCCACGTCTGACAGGCACCCGCTCTGGAGAAAGCAAGGCGAGGGCTCAATCTCACGCTGCTCCTGGCGTGGTTCCTGGTGCACGCTGGTCCTGCAGGTCAGGTTGCAGGGGGAGAATTTGTTTTATCAAAGTTATTGTCATTTCCTGGGGCTTCATAACGAATTATTATAAACTGGGCAGTTTAAAACAATAGGAATGTATTCCCACGTAGTTCTGGAGGCCACAAGTCCAAAATCGGGGTGCCAGCAGGCCCTGTCCACTCTAAAGACCCCAGGGGTGGGTCCTTCCAGGCCTCTCTTGGCCGCTGGTGGCTGCCGGTGGCAATCCCTGGCATTCCTTGGCCTGGGGGTCTCTGCCTGCTTCTTCACCTGGTGCTCCCATCTGTTCTGTCCAGATTTCCCCCTTTCTCTAAAGACACCCATCTTATCGGAATGGGGTCACCCTCCAGGATGACATCATCATAACTACATCTGCAATAGCCCTGTCCCCAAATGAGGTCACCTTCACAGGCAGGAAGGTTAGGACTTCAGCATATGACTTGTTGCGGGAGATACAGTTCAGCCCATAACACACCACGTGGGAGGATAACACCGATTCCAGAACACGCAGAGGAAGCCGCCACGAGCTCCAGTGAAACCTCAGCCCCCAGGTGCCCCATCAGGCACGTTGGGCTGCGGGGGGCACTTCCTCCAGGGGTACATTTTTAGAACGCACAGCACCATAAACCAAAGAGAAGGAGACTTCCTGGTACCCCGTCAGCTTCTGGAGGCATCATTCTCAGCTGACAGCTCTGGCAGCCTCCCCAGTAGGTGAGAGACAGGTAAATGAGGCTCTTGCGTCCAACACAGAACAGGGTAAAAAATCTCAAGCGTCACCAACACATTGAGAAAAAACGAATCCAGCCTCCTGGGCTCTGGTCTCATCCCCAGCTCGTCACGTGCCCGGGCCCTAGTCACAGATCCAGCAGCCCCCACACACCAAACCCCTTCCTGTTTCTCTGTGTAGAAAGGAACTCGGAATAGAGACGCTGAGCTGTTCACCTGGTGCCTTTTGTCTTTGCCAGCAGCAGGGTTGTATCTCACTCATGAGAGCCCTGTAGCAATGTGGGGACCCTGGGACCAGGCTTAAGCTGGGACTTCCCCGGATGGCTGGGCAGAGGAGCTGCAAAAGGCTGGTGCAGCAGGGGTTTGGGGGCGGCCCCTTCCCGAGATGGCAGCCCAGCCAGAGGCCCCTGGACAGTCTTGCCTCTGGGAGGAGAATAGAGGCCCTGGACAGGGTGGATCTAGCTCAGTCCCATGCGCCCAGAGGACAAGTGTGAGCCTGCAGTGTGGACCTACATTCAGCCCACATAGCACACTCCGGTGGGGCCTCAGAGCCAGGGGTCTGGAGCCACCAGAAGCTGCCCCTTGGGATCAGCAGCAGCACCGGGGTCCAGACACAGCACCCAGGAGCAAGCGGACGTCCCCTGAGAGTCATGAGTTGGGTTTCTCCAGGTTTTCCTTCAAAGACGACAGAGGCCCAACTGCCAGCTGACACTTAGGACAGGGATGGGGCAGGTCTACCCTGGGAGCCACGGCCACTCTGGCCCCCAGCACTGTGCCAGGCAGAGATCAGAGCATGGAATGTGGGGTGTGCTCAGAGCTGGGGAGCCTGCAGGAGCCTGGGGTGGCAACTGAGGGCTCAGCTTTCATCCCAAACAAATGGTCTTGTGCACTGGCCTAAGCCGCAGGGGGAAGGGGGTGTGGGGACCCTAGGAAATGAAAGCAAAAATAAGCTTCAAATAGGATGAAAAGAAAGGGCGCTGTGCCAGCTGCTCTGTTTGCTGAAAACGCTGGTTTCCATGGCAACAGGATGCAGAGAGAGGGGCTGCCTGGCCAGGCAGGGTCGGGGAGCCCCAGCAGGCCCTTCTCTGCTCCCAGCTCTGGGATCTATCTGCAAGGGAAACCGCAGGATTCCCACAGTCAAACTGTCTTGCTTGGTGAAGACTTCCATAACCCTCCCAGGGAACGCAGAAGACTTAGAGACAACACGTGTGCGAATGTTTACACAAAAGAGCAAAGCAGAAAAGAAATCACACTCATGCTGTCGTAGTTAACACGGACAACGTTCAGTACTGCTCGGAAATGTGTCCATGGAATTCTTGCCTAGTGGGTGACAGTAGATTCCCTTTGATTGGTGCATGTTATTGGCTGGTTTTGTTAATATCTTGCTGAATCTGTTAGAATTCCCCCTACACATCAAACTGTGGTAGCAACTCTGACAGGTTTTCAAGCGTGAAAGCAGAGGGAAGGGCGACCACGTGAGTCTGTAGTGCGGAGGTTATCACGGGGAGGAGACAGCGGCATGCGAGAAGCCTCTTTTCCAGAAAGGAAATCTGTGTATTATTCTAGCTTTGGAAATAGCACATGCTCGCTGGAAAACCTCCAAGCTCTGCTGACGGGAGTTGAAGGGTGGGCACCCATCATGACAACGGCAGACAGTGTCCCTCGTTTAAATCTGGACACAAGGCCTTCCGGATGTTTTTCTGTGTATAGATATCTTGTTTTGAAAAACAACTATAACATGCTGTTTCATGGTCTCTTTTTCACTAATGGCCTTGTGAGCAATAAATAGATTAAATGTAACCAGCATACAGCTCAGAGATTTTCCCAGAAGGCCACAATCAGGCACTCTTTTTAAACCCACCCAATGTGCTCTTTCTTCCCTGTGGCTTGGTCATTTTTCAGCATTAGCTTTCAGTACATACTGTGTATAGCGTTCTTATTTCCCCTTTTCGTGTAAAGTTTTCTCACTCCACGTAATATCCGTGATTATCTTCCTAATGGCATAATAGTCCATCAAGCGATGTACTGTGGTGGTTTAAACTACTTTCCATTTGGGGACATTCAGGTGGCTTCTAGTCAGTTTTGTGTTTTTGTTACAATGAATCAAGCCACGATGAACATCTGTGTGCATAGAGCTGTTTGCTCCTGTTTAATTCTTAAGATAAATTCCCCAGGGTAGATGTGTGGGCTCAGAGGATACGAATTTCCTTTTTT